GTCACAAACACACTGACATGTGAACATTTATACCCACCTTGGTCATTTACTATTGTTTAGGAATATATACAAAGTATTTATAGGTCCTAACAATGTTTTGGATATGCAGGAGTATATAATAATAATAATAATAATAATAATAATAATAATAATAATAATAATAATAATAGTCTCTTGAAGGATGATGTAAGACAACTGTCAGTCCACTGATGACAGTGCAGTGGTGACATTTGATGAGCATCCATGGCCCTGCCTTTATTTGTTTTCACTGTTACACATAAACATGTCTCTGTCTAGCTCTGTTTAACTCTGTTTATCTCTGTCTGCGTGTGTCTGTCTCAGAGAGCCACTCGTGAACCAACAGGTATTACACATGATTGCGTTGTCACGCCTGGTTCCTGAGCAAGTGTGAATACGTATTTGCAAGTTATGTTTACACATTATATCTGCAAGCACAGTATAACACTGTCTGGAATTTTTGGGTTATCCTAGGTAATTTACACGATGTATAATTGTATTTGTGTACCTGTGAGAGAGAGACAGATAGAGATATACATAGATAGAGACAGACAGAGATAGAGCCAGCCAGCCTGCCAGACACATTATTACACATTTCAGAATTGTTTCTCTTTACTTAGGTCATAGGTTGTAAGACATTTAAAGGGTGTTGCACAAATGTTGCACATGGGTTATCAAGGTTTTTTTTATATTTCCTCGATCACTTATGGCCACATCCACCTCAAAGCCACCTAACTCTGAGTCAACATCACTTTCCTCATATAATGGGCGTGTTAGTACTACATAACGTCAGTGAATCCCAGGTGTTTGCCGCGCTGTTTGCTCTAGCTGATGCTCAGTTGAACTGGTGCTCCCACAAGGTACTAGGTGGTCACAGATTTTTTTAATACTGTGCACACTGAGTGTTAAGATGCATTCTGTGCTGACCAGCTGACCAGGTATCTCAGGCCAATTTTGCCAAATTTGGAGGGAGGAAAAATAAAATGTAGATATACATTTGGAGCGCTAGTGGTAAGAATGTATATGTACGTATGGACCGTTTACAGGTTAAATTGCTCTCAGGTTCATTAACTTTTGCATGTGTAATTTTGTAAAATTTCCATCAATTTTCGTACTTTTGGTATTATTACCTTCAGAAAAAAGATTACTTATTTAAGTGGAAACAGGGAGCTACATTTATTTGAGTCCTGGACAGTGAAAGGGGTAAGTTCCATGTAGCTTTTGTTTTCGTTTATGCTGTAATTTCACCCATTTTTTCCCAGTTAGCAATTTGGCTTGAGGGTGAGGAGTGTCCCCTCAGCAGATAGCCTGGATGATACAGACCCTAGGGTTCTCTTGCCATCGTTCTTTTCCCAGGTGCTCTAATGTACTGTTTTCGTATTCAGACTTGGTTGCTAGGAATCCAGACTTTCATGTTCAATTTTTTCTGTGATTTCATTTCTCTAATATTAGCTCAATGCTTTTTATATACTTATGATGGGTTTCATGAGTTTTTGTACTCAGTCCAGCCCTGGTCCAAACTTGTCTAGTGTTTACCTGGTCAATCAGTCTGTTGCTGTTGGTGGCCCTCTAGCCCACATTTCCATCACAGTCTGCTTGATTTGGCTAATGGCTAGGTTCAGAATTGGACTATCAGCCCTGGGACTTTCACTGATTGTTCAGGTAGGCTTAAGGTAGTGAGAGCTTGTGCTGCTAGTATATGTGGCTTTCATCATTTTATTAAATAATAAATTCTACCACCTCGTCTCTTTATTCCCCAGATGTGTGGTGTTGATCATAATGGCGCCGAGTGTTAAATATGAAAATCTCATGTTATTTTGATTTCCAAGTGATAAAGGAATTTACAGAGAATCATAATTGTACACTTAATCTGTATGCTGATTCTTCCTAAGTTAACCCTTTGACTGTTTCAGGCCCCTCTCTGAAACTGTCATTCTATGTCGCTCAATTTTTGAAAAAAAAAAAAATTATTTTTTCTTATGAAATGATAGAGAATCTTTTCCGATGTAATGACACCAAAAGTTCGAAATTTGGTCGAAAACTCGTGGAATTATGGTCCCGCGAAGTTAGCGGTCTCGGCGACATATGCGTATCGGCGATTTCGCCGACTTTGAGCCCAATTTTCAGCCAATTCCATTGTTCCAGTTGACCAAACTCATAGCTATTTCTTTAGAACTCATTTTATCATCAGCTGAGTACAAGAAACCTCCACATTTACTAATTTGGACTACCCAATATGGTGGTCAGAAATTGGCAATTTGGCCAATTTCACGCAAAATAAAAAAGATGCCAATTTCAAAATAGGGTCCAGAATAAACAAGGTAGACATTCGTGCACTAAAATAACATATGCTCTGATTCATTAGTCACATCTCTAGGCCCCTCTTATATTATTATTGCTTTCTATTTTGATTTTTTAATTCATACAAAAAAAACAAAATTTATGTTATGCAGGACGACTGCATTATTGTAAAAATGGTATAAATAATATCAGTGCATAGTGAAAGAATTTAGACTCCCTAGTTGACGTGTATTGGACGTGTGGTGTGATTTATTTACTCTTCAACATTGGTAAAAATCGAACATTTTCGCTACTTTGAGCTTAGTTTCAAGGTCGTTTTCATCGTAAAAGTAATGAAAATCATCTCTATTTCTGTAATATGTTTTCCATTTTATCACCTAAGACCATGAAAACGCGAATACAATGATAAATACTATACGAAAATACACCTCAAAGTCGGCGTTTTATTCCAAAAAAACGATCAGTTTTTTTTTTCTCATTACGCAATGTGTGCTGCAGGATTTTTTTTATGTGGTGCACACTGACCACACAGACCCATTCTCTCACATGTGGGCCTACCAGCTTTCTCCCACTTGATTTGAAGCCGCTAGAATTATTGAGTATATATACGTCAGAAACATTGGCTCGTAAGACGTATTTATACGTCGAAAACAGTCAAAGGGTTAATATTGAGAGAGATTGTGTTGTTGTATTTATATATAGTTGACCCATGCTTATGACCTAGATAAAGACTGCAAGAACGGTTGTAGTAAAAAAATACATTAACCCTTTCAGGGTCCGTACTGTAGATCTACGGCTTTACGTTGAGGGTCCAAACCGTAGATCTACACCATGAACTCGGCTCACTCTGATAAGCTGTGAGCGGTAAATTTGGGCCTAAATATGAGAGAATACAGCTATGTGGTATGTATGCACCACATAAAACAATTCCTGCAGCACACAGTGCATAATGATAGAAAAAAAAAACTGTCCGTAATTTTCGATTAAAACAGCGACCTTGCAGTGTTTTTCGTATGTATTTTATAGTTGTATTTGCGATATCTTGGTCTCATTTGATAGAATGGAAGATGCATTACAGAAATAGAGATGATTTTGATTGGTTTTAGTACTGAAAATGGCTTGAAACTGAGCTCAAAGTAGTAGAAATGTTAAATTTTTGCCGATGTTCAAGAGTAAACAAATGACCTCACACGTCTAATACACACCAGCTGGTGGGTCTAATATGCATTCACAAATGTGGTGATATTATTTATACATTTGTTACAATATTGCATAACAGTAAATCTATTTTTTGGTTTGAATAAAAATTCATTACATGAATAAAAAATCAAAAGGGTATTCATTTGTAAAGCCTGAAAACATAACTAATGAACAGAGGAAATGTTAGGTTAGTGTCAGGAATGACTGCATTGTTTATTCTGAACCCTATTTTGAAATTGGAATATATTGAATTTTGCATTAAATTGGCCAAATTACCAATTTCCGATCACTTTATTTTGTAGTTGAATCAGTTGACTTGGTGATTTCTTGTGCTCAGTTGATAGAATAGAAGTAATACTAGTGAAATAGCTAAGAATTTGGTCAACTGGAATAATGTAATTGGCCTAAAATGGGAGTCAAAGTTGGCAAAATCGCCGATGCGTAAATATCGCTGACACGTTAGTGGGAACATAATTTCATCAGTTTTCCATCAAATTTCGTACTTTCTGTTTTATTACCCTCAGAAAAAGATTCTCTACCATTTCATAAGAAAAAATAATTATTTTTTGAAAATTCTTGGACACTGGTGCACATTTTAAAATTTGGCCTCTGGACCCTGAAAGGGTTAAACAAATCAGATTTTCCCTTAAGAAACCACGTAATTTGAGACTGGGATGATGATCGGTATCTAATTTTTTTTTTTTATTCTTGAAGAATGTTTACCAAAATTAACTTACACACATACTATATGATCACAAAGTTAATGAACTTGGTAAAAAAAAAAAATTGGAAGTCTTGGTCATACTTCACCTGGCTGATTGTTCATTTTCCATTGACTTGGTGAATGACATATCTTTACCTTTGATGGGTTGTGAGAGTTTCCAGTTCCTGCAGCCTTTCCTTAGACCATAATCATAAGATTTTGTTCAAAATGTTTTCACTGCAATTCCCACACCCAAGTTCGTTAATTCTTTCAGTCAAGTTATTCTTATGAATGTTAACATGATTCACCTTAGAGCAGTATTAAAAGTGATTTAAAAATCAAGCAGAGTACCCATTTTCTTTTGACTTGGCACATGACACTTAAAGTGAATGGATTTCATTCAAATTAGGCTCATTATTAAAGTTCATGAATTCCATTTAAAATTTTCTAATCTTGCATATGTTGCTGACCTTATAAAGTTCATGTATTTCTGGCAATATTCTTGGTGTTATATTTAGCCCAATGTTCTTTTCTTTTTGCTGATATTTGCAGCTTCTTTCTGGCTATGCTGTACTCCAGTCTCTCTCCAAAATGCATGATCTTCCATTTGTTTGACTGTAATTGTTGTTTGACTATATATGCAGACTGTTGGTCTCCAGACATTGTCATCTCTAGCTTTACATTGAGCATTATCTTGTGTAATTTTAGTGTTACCTTAATCCAGTATGTTTATTTTTGCATTATTTTTATTAAGATTCTTTAAATTTTTACCCCTTAGGTACCATTTTCTAAGATGCTGACATTCTACCGCCGTGAGCCATTTACACTACAGGCACAGTACACTGTCCCATCAACTTTCCCAGACCCTATCATTGGCCATTATACAGTGGAAAATGTTGCTCCTGGGCCAGAGGGAGAGTGCCTAAAGGTATTTTTTTTTTTTTTTGTACAGTACATTGGGTAATATTTAATAAATGTATGGAAGAGGGTAAGGTACCTAGGGATTGGCAGAGAGCATGCATAGTTCCTTTGTATAAAGGCAAAGGGGACAAAAGAGAGTGCAAAAATTATAGGGGGATAAGTCTGTTGAGTATACCTGGTAAAGTGTATGGTAGAGTTATTATTGAAAGAATTAAGAGTAAGACGGAGAATAGGATAGCAGATGAACAAGGAGGCTTTAGGAAAGGTAGGGGGTGTGTGGACCAGGTGTTTACAGTGAAACATATAAGTGAACAGTATTTAGATAAGGCTAAAGAGGTCTTTGTGGCATTTATGGATTTGGAAAAGGCATATGACAGGTGGATAGGGGGGCAATGTGGCAGATGTTGCAGGTGTATGGTGTAGGAGGTAGGTTACTGACAGCAGTGAAGTGTTTTTACAAGGATAGTGAGGCTCAAGTTAGAGTATGTAGGAAAGAGGGAAATTATTTCCCAGTAAAAGTAGGCCTTAGACAAGGATGTGTGATGTCACCATTGTTGTTTAATTATATTATATATGGGGTTGTAAGAGAAGTAAATGTGAGGGTCTTGGCAAAAGCGTGGAGTTAAAAGATAAAGAATCACATAAAGTGGAGTTGTCACAGTTGCTCTTGCTGATGACACTGTGCTCTTGGGAGATTCTGAAGAGAAGTTGCAGAGATTGGTGGATGAATTTGGTAGGGTGTGCAAAAGAAGAAAATTAAAAGTGAATACAGGAAAGAGTAAGGTTATGAGGATAAAAAGATTAGGTGATGAAAGATTGGATATCAGATTGGAGGGAGAGTGTGGAGGAGGTGAATGTATTCAGATATTTGGAAGTGGACGTGTCAGCGGATGAGTCTATGAAAGATGAGGTGAATCATAGAATTGATGAGGAGAAAAGGGTGAGTGGTGCACTTAGGAGTCTGTGGAGACAAAGAACTTTGTCCTTGGAGGCAAAGAGGGGAATGTATGAGAGTATAGTTTTACCAACGCTCTTATATGGGTGTGAAGCATGGGTGATGAATGTTGCAGTGAGGAGAAGGCTGGAGGCAGTGGAGATGTCATGTCTGTGGGCAATGTGTGGTGTGAATATAATGCAGAGAATTCGTAGTTTGGAAGTTAGGAGGAGGTGCGGGATACCAAAACTGTTGTCCAGAGGGCTGAGGAAGGGTTGTTGAGGTGGTTCGGACATGTAGTGAGAATGGAGCGAAACAGAGTGACATCAAGAGTGTATCAGTCTGTAGTGGAAGGAAGGCAGGGTAGGCGTCGGCCTAGGAAAGGTTGGGAGGGAGGGGGGTAAAGGAGGTTTTGTGTGTGAGGGCTTGGACTTCCAGCAGGCATGCGTGAGTGTGTTTGATAGGAGGGGAATGGAGACAAATGGTTTTTAATCTTGTCGGTGTTGGAGGTGAGCAAATAACATTTTGAAGGGGTTCGGGGAAACCGCACCGGACTTGAGTCGGAGAGGGAATTACAGTGCCTGCACTTGAAGGAGGGGTTAATGGCATTTTAAAAACGTGTGTAAAGCCCCCTTCGGCAAGACAGTGAGAGTGAATAAAGGTAAAATTTTTTTTCTTTTTGGGCCACCCTCCCTTGGTGGGAATCAGCCAGTGGAAAATAATAAAAAATAGGGTAATTTTTAGTGAAGGGATTCGGGGAAACCGGTTTTTTTATATAGCCATTTTATGTGAAAGGGGAAGTAAAATGAGGGGTTGGGATGTTTGGAGTTTGGAGGAATAGTTATATATCTTTTAAATGCTTTAAATATTGTCACCGTGGTTGTTTAATATAATTTATAGATGGGGTTGTAAGAGAAGTAAATGCGAGGGTCTTGGCAAGAGGCGTGGAGTTAAAAGATAAAGAATCACACAAAGTGGGATTGTCACAGCTGCTCTTTGCTGATGACACTGTGCTCTTGGGAGATTCTGAAGAGAAGTTGCAGAGATTGGTGGATGAATTTGGTAGGGTGTGCAAAAGAAGAAAATTAAAGGTGAATACAGGAAAGAGTAAGGTTAGAGGATAACAAAAAGATTAGGTGATGAAAGATTGAATATCAGATTGGAGGAGAGAGTATGGAGGAGGTGAACGTATTCAGATATTTGGGAGTGGACGTGTCAGCGGATGGGTCTATGAAAGATGAGGTGAATCATAGAATTGATGAGGGAAAAAGAGTGAGTGGTGCACTTAGGAGTCTGTGGAGACAAAGAACTTTGTCCTTGGAGGCAAAGAGGGGAATGTATGAGAGTATAGTTTTACCAACGCTCTTATATGGGTGTGAAGCGTGGGTGATGAATGTTGCAGGAGGAGAAGGCTGGAGGCAATGGAGATGTCATGTCTGGGGGCAATGTGTGGTGTGAATATAATGCAGAGAATTCGTAGTTTGGAAGTTAGGAGGAGGTGCGGGATTACCAAAACTGTTGTCCAGAGGGCTGAGGAAGGGTTGTTGAGGTGGTTCGGACATGTAGAGAGAATGGAGCGAAACAGAATGACTTCAAGAGTGTATCAGTCTGTAGTGGAAGGAAGGCGGGGTAGGGGTCGGCCTAGGAAGGGGGTAAAGGAGGTTTTGTGTGCGAGGGGCTTGGACTTCCAGCAGGCATGCTTGAGCGTGTTTGATAGGAGTGAATGGAGACAAATGGTTTTTAATACTTGACGTGCTGTTGGAGTGTGAGCAAAGTAACATTTATGAAGGGATTTTAGGGAAACCGGCAGGCCGGACTTGAGTCCTTTGGGGATGGGAAGTACAGTGCCTGCACTCTGAAGGAGGGGTGTTAATGTTGCAGTTTAAAAACTGTAGTGTAAAGCACCCTTCTGCAAGACAGTGATGGAGTGAATGATGGTGAAAGTTTTTCTTTTTCGGCCACCCTGCCTTGGTGGGAATCGGCCGTGTGATAATAAAAAAAAAAAAAAATATGCTTCTAAACTAGTTGTATCTGGGACCTCTGAAAAGTGAAATGGGGATGATGAGGTAGAAAGTATTGAATGATGATGAAAGTATTCTTTTGGGCCCCTGCCTCGTGTTGGAGTACAGCCGATTTGTTGGGAAAAAAAAAATTGATATTACAAAATTGTTACATTTCATCATTTTAACAATGGGAGCTGTGATTGTGGTTTTATTTGCATTTGAACCATTCACGTCTAACTATACTTACTTTTTCTAAATCTTGTGTAACTGTATCCATTTTATTTTGAGATTTACTTTCTTGCATTGTCTTCTTCATATTACCACCCATAATATAAGGGCTATGTTTTCTCATTTTTTTTCTGCTCTGCATTATTATTTTAGTTTACTAAGTGGTTATATTTCCAGTATGAAGTTGCTAAAAAAAAAAAAAATGATATTTACAGGTGAAAGTAAAAGTGCGAGTAAACCTGCATGGACTGTTCACTGTTGCTTCAGCTTCCCTGACAGAAAAGAGAGAGACAACTGAGGAGTCCCAAGAAATCATGGAAACTGAGGATAAGCAAGATAAGGTGTGTAAGATGTCATTGTTTGTTACCTAAAAGCAAAAAAAGGTATGGGAACATTTACTAAATATTGATGTTTAGTAATGATAAACCAATGTATCTTCAATGTATTTACAGGCATCAACTGATGGACCTGTGAATAACCAGGACAGTAAAGTGGAGAATCATAGTACTCCAGCTGAAGAAGGAAGTCAGCAAGAGGTAAGATTTTTCAAACCATTGCCAGTTAGCCCTTTTGATTTTGTAATAAGTAGTCTCTGATGTCTAGGGCACTTCTGCTATATGATGATGTAATTGTACTTAGAAATTTCAACTTCATCAGTGTTGGAGATTGAAGGAGCACTTGAAATATTTTAACCAGATTTCTAAAAGCTTCTGCTTCTCTTGCCCACTCCTTGCCACATGCTGTTGCTGCTCTGGCATGCACTATGCTAACCACTTGCCAGACACTTTGCCCTCAACCACAACAGTGAGGAGAATGGGTGATTATGTAAACAGTGTTGTTAGATACAATTGGAGTTGGAAGGGGTGGAAGAGATCCATCTGAGTACCGTTTTTTTTTTATTTTCATCGTTAAAAAAATGAATGAAATGTGGAATATTATGGCTTAAGAATGCATCTCTTATATCATGAGGTTATATTGGAAAACAGGTTCCTAGTCATGAAAGAGTTCCAGGAACACTTATTTTTTAGTTTAGGGTCTGCTGTTCATCCTGAGTAAATGCATCACTAGAAAGAATGGGAATGTGGAATTACAGTGCAGTGTATGAAAAGTAACTTGTAGATCCTTTGTCAACGGTAAATACAACTGTTTGGATATAGAGTTCAGTACAATTTAGGCATAATGTGTGATAGTTTAGAAAATATTAATTTGAAATGGTTACTAGATATATATGACTTAAGAGCATTGGCACCTGTCACCTGGCTGTTTTTTTTTTTTTTTTTTTTTTTCAAATGGAAATGTTGCCATGATTGATTTGAATGCAGTTTTTTGATAGTTTAATAATAAAATTATGCAAACCAGGGTTGCATCTGCACACATTCAGACTGCTCTTTCACAATTTCCTTTATTTTTTGTAATTACAGACAGGACACCCTTATGGGTTTAGCACTTACTTATTCTTAGTATTAAGACAGGGCAATTCAGTGATTATAGCTTTAACTTCCTGGGGGATTTGAGAAAATAAAGATTCAAATACTTTTCTCTACTACCTACATTGCTATGATTGTTGTAGTAAGAACTCATGAAATAATTATACAAAAATTCCTGTGTCCCATTGGTTGTTGCTTTTACTACAGTTAAAGCAGTTCATGCACTTTCCTGATGTGATCTACTCCCAGTGCTTGAGGTGGTCTGTATTCTTGTTTTTTCCCAACCCAAGAGACATTGCTTCCTTGTCTTCCTGTTCTGTATCAACAGTTGACTGCTGTAGATTACGTTTTCACAGTACAAAAGCCAAACCCGCGTGTAGAAATCTCTTACATTTTTCCAGTAGTCTTGAAATGTCATTAAGTGAATGCCTAGAAAGCCAGGCATCCAAGATTCAAGTAGATGGATATATTGTGTATATTAATTTTTTCAAAATATTTTACTATCTTGTTTTTACCAAAACAGTTTGCTCGTACTGTACTTTTTCTGAGAACTGATCTTACTTCAACTTATAGTGCAATAGCTGCTTTCTATAAAATACTAATGTTAACTTTTTTTTTTCTTTAGAAAATGGAAACAGAGAAATCCACAGAGACTCCTACACCAACTAAGGTAACCAAGGTACTCTTCACCTCTCTTTTTGTCCTCCTTCCTCTCCTCCTTCCTCCTCCTCCTTCCTCCTCCTCCTTCCTCCTCCTCCTTCCTCCTCCTCCTTCCTCCTCCTCCTTCCTCCTCCTCCTTCCTCCTCCTCCTTCCTCCTCCTCCTTCCTCCTCCTCCTTCCTCCTCCTCCTTCCTCCTCCTCCTTCCTCCTCCTCCTTCCTCCTCCTCCTTCCTCCTCCTCCTTCCTCCTCCTCCTTCCTTTCTCCTCCTTCTCCTCCTCCTCCTTCCTCTTTCTCCTCCTCTTTCTCCTCTCTTTCCTCCTTCTCTTTCTCCTCTTCCTCTTTCTCCTCCTCTTCCTCCTCCTCTTCCTCTTTCTCCTCTTCCTCTTTCTCCTCCCCTTTCTCCTCCTCTTCCTCTTTCTCCTCCTCCTTCTCTCTTTCTCCTCCTCTCCTCTTTCTCCTCCTCTTCCTCTTTCTCCTCCTCTTCCCTTTTCTCTCCTCCTTCCTCTTTCTACTCCTCTTCTCTTTTTCTCTTCATCTCTTTCTTTCTTTCTTCCTCTTTCTCCTCCACTTTCTCTCTCCTCCTCCTCTTCCTTTCTTCTCTTCCTTCTCGTTCTCTCTGATTCTTGAGCTCACCAGTAATTCTCTTTAGTTTGTTCCCTTGCTCTTGAACAATGTAGCACTTGTGGTGCTTTAATGATAGTGTGCTTAGAAGTGAAACTCCCCCCACATTCACGAATTCTGTTTCCGCAGTTTCAGTTACCCACAGTTTACTGTGGTTCAAAAATAGCCCTTAATTTTACTTAATGTCATCAAAGAACAACAGTGATGATGGCTGTTATTCAAAGCCTAAGAGAAGCCATAAAGTGCTTTCTATCAGTGGAGAAAGTGATAGTTCTCCACTTATTCTGTATAATATATATTAGACTTTACCACAGGAATGTATGTAAAGAAGAACAAAATTATATACGTATAGGGTTCGCTGCTATCCACAGTTTCGGGTATCCACAGTAGGTCTTGGAACATATCCCCTGTGGATATGGGGGACTACTACAATTTGTTTATGTAGTGTATCACCCTGCCCCGGTGGGAGACGGCCGACTTGTTGAAAAAAAAAAAAAAGCTAACCTTTAAACTGTGGACTACGTATGCTGTGCTTTTTTTTTTTTTTTTTTTCAACAAGTCGGCTGTCTCCCACCGAGGCAGGGTGACCCAAAAAAGAAAGAAAATCCCCAAAAAGAAAATACTTTCATCATCATTCAACACTTTCACCACACTCACACATTATCACTGTTTTTCCAGAGGTGCTCAGAATACAACAGTCTAGAAGCATACACATATAAAGATACACAACATATCCCTCCAAACTGCCAATATCCCAAACCCCTCCTTTAAAGTGCAGGCATTGTACTTCCCATTTCCAGGACTCAAGTCCGACTATATGAAATAACCGGTTTCCCTGAATCCCTTCACTAAATATTACCCTGCTCACACTCCAACAGATCGTCAGGTCCCAAGTACCATTCGTCTCCATTCACTCCTATCTAAAACGCTCACGCACGCTTGCTGGAAGTCCAAGCCCCTTACCCACAAAAACCTCCTTTACCCCCTCTCTCCAACCCTTTCGAGGACGACCCCCACCCCGCCTTCCTTCCCCTATAATTTATATGCTTTCCATGTCATTCTACTTTGATCCATTCTCTCTAAATGACCAAACCACCTCAACAAACCTCTTCTGCCCTCTGACTAATACTTTTATTAACTCCACACCTTCTCCTAATTTCCACACTCCGAATTTTCTGCATAATATTTACACCACACATTGCCCTTAAACAGGACATCTCCGCTGCCTCCAACCGTCTCCTCGCTGCTGCATTTACCACCCAAGCTTCACACCCATATAAGAGTGTTGGTACTACTATACTTTCATACATTCCCTTCTTTGCCTCCATAGATGCTGTGCATATGCTTGGATATTTATGTACGACATACACCAGCACCATGCTAAAGATTTTTTCTACCTTTAACCCTTTCAGGGTCCCCAGGCCCTCTCAGGGTCTCCCAAATTTAAAAAAAAAAATTTCTTATAAAAAGATTTTTTTTTTCTAAACATTATATAATCTAAAAAAATTTTTTTTACCGTCAATACTTACCGAGATATGGAGGCATGGAGTTGACAGAAAATGCCTCATATATGGTAACATCGCCAACTGCCGTCACCCAGTACTATTTTTTTTTTTGTTTTTTAGGTAATATTTCCCTATTATTTTTTTAATTTTTTTTTCCAAGTAACTTTTATGGCCTGTGAGACCAATATTAGCACTATTTTATAAGTTTTCCTCTTTTATTTACTACACAATAACTCCACAAACACTGTTGTCCTTATTTTATTTATTATCACACCGGCCGATTCCCACCAAGGCAGGGTGGCCCGAAAAAGAAAAACTTTCACCATCATTCACTCCATCACTGTCTTGCCAGAAGGGTGCTTTACACTACAGTTTAAACTGCAACATTAACACCCCTCCTTCAGAGTGCAGGCATTGTACTTCCCATCTCCAGGGCTCAAGTCCGGGCCCGCCGGTTTCCCTGAATCCCTTTATAAATGTTACTTTGCTCACACTCCAACAGCAAAGTCAAGTATTAAAAAACCATTGTCTCCATTCACTCCTATCAAACCGCTACAGCATGCCTGCTGGAAGTCCAAGCCCCTCGCACACAAAACCTCCTTTTACCCCCTCCCTCCAACCCTTCCTAGGGCCCACCCTACCCCCCGCCTTCCTTCCACTACAGACTGATACACTCTTGAAGTCATTCTGTTTCGCTCCATTCTCTCTACACTGTCCGAAACCCCCTCACAACAACCCTTTCCCCAGCCCTCTGGACAACAGTTTTGGTAATCCCGCACCTCCCCTAACTTCCAAACTACGAATTCTCTGCATTATATTCACACCACACATTGCCCTCAGACATGACTTCCCCACTCCCTCCAGCCTTCCCCTCGCTGAAAACTTTCATCACCCACGTTACACCCATATAGACGTTTGGTAAAACTATACTCTCATACTTCCCCCCCTTTTTGCCCCAAGGACAAGTTCTTTGTCCCCACAGCTCCTTAAAGTGCCCCACCACTCTTTTTCCCTCATAATTCTATGATTCACCTCATCTTTCATAGCCCCATCCGGCACGTCCATCCCAAAATCTAAACGTTAAAACCTCCCCCATACTCTCCCCCTCCAATCTGATATTCATTTTCATACCTAATCTTTTTTTATCCTCAAACCTTCTCTTTCCTGTATTACCTTTAATTTTCTTCTTTTGCACCCCCTCCCCAAATTCATCCCCCAACTCTGCAACTTTCTTGAATCTCCAAGAGCACGTGTATGGGCAAGAGCAGCGTGACAACTCCCCTTTGTGTGTGTTTTCTTTATCTTTTAACTCCACGCCTCTTGCCCAAGACCCCCATTACTTCTCTTAAAACCCCCATCTAAAAATATATTAAAAAACCACGGTGACATCACAACCCTTTTTAAAGGGCCTACTTTTACTGGGAAAAAATTTTCCCCCTCTTTCCTCATACTCAATTTGAGCCCCCCTTTTCCTCGTAAAAACTTTTTTTCACTGTTTCAGTAACTACCTCCTAACCATACACTTGCAACATCTGCCCATTGCCCCCCTACCCACCCTGTATACGTTTTTCCAAATCAAAAATCCCCCAAAAAAGCCCTCTTTACCCTTATTAAATACTGTTGTCCTTATATTTTTTTAAAATTTTGTTGTTTAAACACAAATGATAAATGTTGTTTTTTACTATTTTTCTACATCTTATATAACATATACAGTCACAGGGAATTTTCTAGAAGTTTTGCAGGCGTGGAAGTCTTTGAAACATATGTTTTACACTCCTCAATATAAAAGGTGTTTCGTTTTTGTGGGTGTTTTTTTGTTGTTCACAAGTAACGCCCTTCTGGCCTTTTCTTGAAAGCAGAGCAGGGCAGTTTTACTAGGAAGGTCCCATGCTTCAGAAAGAGGTAGTTGTTGAAAATTTTATGGGCGGTCTGTTGAGGTGTTGTTCCTTGGTACTTGAATACATTTGTTGATGACAGAAAAAGTTCGCCCTATGATGGTTTCCCCCCTTTATTATTTAAGCATTGAGCATGGAAATGTCAGAAAAAAAAAAGAGTTTTTTGTTCCACTTTAAAATCTGGCGAATAAATCAGCAAACCCCCTCTGCTGTCACATTTGTCCACTGAACGCATATTGAGGGTGTAATCAATCACGCTGCGGTTTTTTGAATGGTTCATTTCTCTCTTTTTTGCTGCCTGCCGCGTTTTGTCATTTCATTAGGGGGTGAATTGATACAACAGTGCGACATTCGTTTGTAGCCATGAGTCATTGGCAGCAAAAAACCTGCCCTCACCTTACAGTGCCAGCGTGAACCTGGGCGTATGTTTTTGATTTTCAATCACTGTGCCAACACACCTGTCATGTTATCGCAAAAAATCATGTGAGGGGCTTGTGTATAGTTATCAGTATATAATATATGCCCCTTACCAGGGTAAGGGGCATATATTACTTGCTGGTATTTTGCAATGTATAACTTCCAGTGTACACAATAATATCCAATACCAGACCACTGTAACAATCACAAAGCAGAAACAACTTTATACCAAAGCATTTCCTCTTGCTTGGTATGTACTGCTTGAAAGAGAGTCTTCCTTTGAACATAATCAAAGACTCATCAATTACAAGCTTCCTGAAGGGATAAAAATACATAACTGAATTTCTCTTTTAGATACACACACATTCCTAATCTTATATAACCTGTCGTTTCTGTCAGGCCTGGTTTTGTCTGAGAAGTGAAGCACACATAATAGTAGCACAAATCGATTCACTTGCATTATATCACTGAAACCTGGGGTTGCAATCAAGCGGTCTGTTGACCAGTATGATTTCAATGTGCTTATACACATGTGGCATAAGCATTGTTGTGGCAAAGAAAAGATGCATCTCAGCCACAGTTGTCTCCTCCCACCTGTGTAGCCGTGAGTTTGGTGAAAGTATTGTGTTTGCCATGGTGTACTCGTAGTATCTGTTGCTTTCCCTGACAATAATTTCCATCAGGGGTTTGTCAAAGAATAACTCGAAACATTCCAGTTCAGTGAGATTGTTCCCCAGTGTACAAGATGGCCGTATTCCACTTTGGCTTTCATCAAACTGGTGGGGATTGGGAACAAAATTGGCAGCTTCTTGCCAATTCCAGGTGGTTGTGGAGGTTGTGGTTGTGGAGGCTGGTGTGGTGGGTGGGTGGGGGATGGTGGCCTTTGTTGGAGATCAGCTGAGGCAGCAGCGTGGGTGGCAGCATGGCCCACTGCTGGTGCCTCACTGCCGGCACCACCACCACCACCACCACCACTACCACCACCATGCACATTTTCCATCCCAATTGCAACACTATCATCGTCATTTTCACTGTTCCTGTTGTACAGCCATGGGATGTACTCAGAGATGTACTCCTTCCCCTTGGAATACCACATGGCACACTACCAGAGCGCATATATCGTTGTATATACTGACGCTTCACTGGAGAATATTGCACTTGACTATCACTACTGGAACTGTTTTCAAGAGCTTGTAGATCATATTCACTATCATCTCCAATGCTCACATCTGAGTCTGGGATTTGGGAAAATAGGAGTTTCCTCTTTGATTCTGGTACAACTGAACGTGAACAAGACAGCCCAGCAGCAGAGGTGGAAGGCTGAGGGTCGTCTGGGTTTTCCTCACTGTTACCGATATTATGGTCATTAGTTTCAGTCAAAACTTCACCAAAACCTTGAAACTCATCTTCACTGGCACTTTCATCTGTATTAGAACTGTCACTGGGGAACAAAAGTGTCCCAATTCACCAAGGAGAGAGGAGCTTCTTACCGCAAGGCATGGTGAACAAGGTCTACTAAAATGGCGTTCCCACAAAGGGCCACTGGGTCCCAGATTTTTTTTCTACCATGCACACTGACCCCACACACCCATTCTCTCGCATCTAGGCCTACCAGCCTTTTCCCGTGAGATTTGAAGGCGCTAGAATTTATGCGTTAGTACATCAAGGACCCTGGCGCGTAAGCCGTACTAGTACGGCCGAAACCCTGAAAGGGTTAAATTTGTTACCTGCCATCATTTTATGCCTAGGCTCATTGTCCCACTTCTGATACCAAGGAAAAAAATTGCTAGCCACATGGTGAGTCCCAGAGCAGCATTGGTAACAGCCTCAGTAGCATTTTTAAAATGATGGCAAGGAGATGCCAAGGCTGGACTAGGCATGAAATCCAGCATTTCATGTGCTAGAGGAAACAGTAATTGAGTGGAGTTTTCAAGAGAATCTTTGGTTTTGATGAGGTGTTAATGACTCCCTAAGTATAAGTAATACCAGTGAAACTCAAGAAATAACAGTGGCATCCATGTCTGGCCTAGGTACACAGACACAGGAAAAGTAATGTCTATACTTGTGAAAGCAATAGCAAAGTGAGCAGTTTGAGTGACAACAGTAGAAAGAAATATGATTGCAAGGCAGATAATACTGATTAAAGTGATAAACATTATTCCCAATAAAGCTTAAATGCAATCTAACCCAAACCCCCTGCAAGGGTTTGGGTCCCACTGTACTTTCGACATTCCTTTCTTTGCCTCATGAATAACGTTTTTTGTTTCACAAATACCGTGACGCACCCTCGCCTTTTTTCATTCATCAATTCCATGGTTAACCTCATCCTTCATAACCTATCTGCTGACGAGTCAACTCCAGATACGTACCTGAAAACGTTCACTTTTACCGTACTCCCTCTCTCCAATGTGATATCCAATTTTTCTTTAAATCATTTTATAACCTCATCACCTCACTTTTATCTGTGTTGACTTTCAACTTTCTACCTTTACACGCCCTCCCAAACTCGTCCACTAACCTCTGCAACTTTTCTTTAGAATCTCCCATAAGCCCAGTATCACCAGCAAAAAGTAACTGTGTCAGCTCCTAGTTCCTACTTGCTTTGCATTCATCACTTTCAGCACTGTTTCCTAGGGTGTCCCATCTGAGATCACTATATAACTGCTTTGCTTTTTCTCAAATTGTTTCAGAAACTCTGACACCGGCCAATTGTTTCTAATTAATCCACACTGACGAGAGTTATTCTGTTTCTTTAAGTTTCGTGACCTTTTTGCTGGAAGAATTGTCACTTCTTTCACCACTTCAGCCCCTTTTTTTGCCTCTTTATTTTTCAATGTAGATGATTTAGTGAATTTCACCATACCATATTGAGTGGTCAGGTCCAACACGTGTTCCACTTTTCCACTTCACAATGAGTTCTTTTTTCACTTTATTGTTCTCACTGCTTTCCTTTTAGGCTTGTTTGAATCACTATTATTTTTTTGGTGCCATTATTACTTACTTTCAGTGAAAATATTTAAAAAAAAAAAAAGCCACAGAATAACAATGAAATGCCATAAAAAGTTTCACGAAGCTTGTAGGAATGATGCTTAGTGAATGAAAGCTGACGAGAGACTGAGCGTGTGATGCTTTGTTTTTGTCGGACTTCATCCAGATTAACCATTTTGTTTAGGTTCAATATCAGGGCAACATCCAGATAGTCAAATTTTTCTCAGAAAGTTGGGTAAATATTGAGTTGTACAGATATAGGGAAGTATGAATATTGAAGTTCCACTGTATACTTTCATTTAAAGATGAACAAAAAATATCAACCAGAATTTAGGTAAGGAAATTGCGTAACTTTTTTTCTTACTTTAATGTACATCTTACAACATCCAATTACAGTGTAAGGCATGAAAAACTGTTGACAAATTAGGAAACTTCAGTAAATAAACTGCTACTTTGGTAGTCTCAAGAACAGCATGTTAACATGATTTCATGTAACATGCCGTTTTCGGGAACACAACCACAGCATTATTCACGACTTCACTGTACATAATTTTACTAAGGTATATACCCAGGCTGTATAATACATAATGGTTTCTCTTACACCATGTGTTTACTCCCGGACAGAATGAAGGCAATGAAAAGAAGGGAAAAAAAGTGTTGAAGACGGTGGAACTGCCAATTAAGGAAGTTATCAAGTCTCTCAACACTGCTGATCTCAATTCCTTAGTGGAACGTGAATCTCAAATGGTCCAAGCTGACAAATTAGAGAATGACCGTATTAATGCAAAGGTAAACAAGATGGTTTTTGTTTTGTAATGCTATACAGACATGTTTACTAGGCCCTTGATATACTAATTATATTGTCAGAGTTGCAGGATTTAAGATGATACATTATGAAGTCGAGTCAGTTTAAACAAGACCGGTAAATAAAAAAAAATAATAAGATTTTTATAATTCGTGTGTATTTAGATTAATGGTGATAGGTGATGTTGGAGGTACAGTATGTACAATGGTATTACCCAAGTGTTGTCTTATGTCACTGGTTTCTCATACAAGCCCAGTCTTCTAGTGGAATGTTAAGAAACACTTTTGTACTAACTTTAATACTGCATACTGATGATGCATTGAAAATGTCTCTCATGCCTCGTCCCCTTTCCTCACCCTTCCCCATCTCCCCCTCTCATTCTCCTTCATCCTCCCTTCTCCTGCCAACATAGTGGTTACCAAAGTTTGCCACCAAATTAAAGAAACAGCAAAAAATGTACAAATTATGAAATAGTTCTTGTCTGCCTTTTTTTTTTTTTTTTCCTGTATGTGAAGTATGTAATAAGATTACATGAACTTTGTACACGTAAGTGTTGCTGAACAAGTTCTCTTGATATTAAAAGAGCAATTACTACATTGTATACAACATATTTTAGTGGAAAATGTTCTTAATTTCTGTAATTTTTTTTTTTTTTTTATTTTTTAGAATGCTGTTGAAGAGTATGTTTATGATGTGCGTAGTCGTATTTACGATGATCTTGAACAGTACATCAGCCCAAGTGATAGGGAGAAACTAAGTCATCAGCTGGAAGATACAGAGACTTGGCTGTATGAAGAAGGAGAAGACTGTAACAAGCAGGTGTACCTTGATAAGTTAGCAGAATTAAAGGTAGGTGAATTTCATCTCTCTTTCTTCATGTGAAATCTTTTTTCTTTACAGGATGACTTCTGTCTCATAGATGTTGGAGTCTTCAAATAGAATATGGTACTATGCTTGGTTTTTTTTCATTCCACATTTTTTTTTGGAGAAAGCTACCACCTTTGATATTTTGTCCTTGGAGAGACTTATAAATACCTTTCAGTTTTAAATGTTTTAATTTTCTACTTATTAAGCATTATGTATTGAACATCTTGTTTTATGTAGGTTAATCACTTAGACATTAGTCATATATTACGTACTTAAAAATTATTCATGAGTAGGTTGGTAGACAGCAACCACCCAGGGAGGTACTACCGTCCTGCCAAGCGAGTGTAAAACGAAAGCCTGTGAGTGTTTTACATGATGGTAGGATTGCTGATGTCTTTTGTCTGTCTCATAAATATGCAAGATTACAGGCATTGTCTTGCTACTTCTACTTACACTTAGGTCACACTACACATACATGTACACATTTATTTATACACACTCATCTGAGTTTTCTTTGATTTTATCTTAATAGTTCTTGGTCTTATTAATTTTCCTTTTATATCCATGGGGAAGTGGAATAAGAATCTTTCCTCCGTAAGCCATGCGTGTTGTAAAAGTCAACTAAAATGCCGGGAACATGGGCTAGTAACCCCTTTTCCTGTAAAGATTACTAAAAAGAATAAGAAGAAGAAAAATTGTCAAAGTGGGAAGTCTGAATGTGCGTGGATGTTGTGCAGATGATAAGAAAGAGATGATTGTGGATGTTATGAATGAGAAGAAGCTGGATGTCTGGCTTTAAGTGAAACAAAGCTGAAGGGGGTGGGAGAGTTTCAGTGGAGAGGAATAAATGGGATTAGGTCAGGGGTTTCAATAGAGTTAGAGCTAAAGAAGGAGTAGCAATAATATTGAAGGATAAGCTATGGCAGGAAAAGAGGGACTATAAATGTATTAATTCAAGGATTATGTGGAGTAAAATAAAGATTGGATGTGAAAAGTGGGTGATAATAAGCGTGTATGCACCTGGAGAAGAGAGAAGTGTAGAGGAGAGAGAGATTTTGGGAAATGTTGAGTGATGCGTGGGGAGTTTTGAATCAAGTGTGAGAGTAATGGGTTGGGGATTTCAATGCTAAAGTGGGTAAAAATGTTATGGCGGGAGTAGTAGGTAAATTTGGGGTTCCAGGGGTAAATGTAAATGGGGAGCCTTTAATTGAGCTATGTGTAGAAAGAAATTTGGTAATAAGTAATACATATTTTATGAAAAAGAGGATAAATAAATATACAAGGTATGATGTAGCACATAATGAAAGTAGTTTATTAGATTATGTATTGGTGGATAAAAGGTTGATGGGTAGGCTCCAGGATGTACATGTTTATAGAGGGGCAACTGATATATCGGATCATTATTTAGTTGTAGCTACAGTTAGAGTAAGAGGTAGATGGGAAAAGAGGAAGGTGGCAACAACAAGTAAGAGGGAGGTGAAAGTGTATAAACTAAGGGAGGAGGAAGTTAGGGTGAGATATAAGCGACTATTGGCAGAAAGGGGGCTTGTGCAAAGATGAGTAGTGGGGGGGTTGAAGAGGGTTGGAATAGTTTTAAAAATGCAGTATTAGAATGTGGGGCAGAAGTTTGTGGTTATAGGAGGGTGGGGGCAGGAGGAAAGAGGAGTGATTGGTGGAATGAGAAGTAAAGGGTGTGATAAAAGAGAAAAAGGTAGCTTTGAGAGGTTTTTACAAAGCAGAAGTGTTATAAGAAGAGCAGAGTATATGGAGAGTAAAAGAAAGGTAAAGAGAGTGGTGAGAGAGTGCAAAAGGAGAGCAGATGATAGAGTGGGAGAGGCACTGTCAAGAAATTTTAATGAAAATAAGAAAAAATTTTGGAGTGAGTTAAACAAGTTAAGAAAGCCTAGGGAAAATATGGATTTGTCAGTTAAAAACAGAGTAGGGGAGTTAGTAGATGGGGAGATGGAGGTATTAGGTAGATGGCGAGAATATTTTGAGGAACTTTTAAATGTTAAGGAAGAAACAGAGGCAGTAATTTCATGCACTGGTCAAGGAGGTATACCATCTTTTAGGAGTGAAGAAGAGAAGAATGTAAGTGTGGGGGAGGTACGTGAGGCATTACATAAAATGAAAGGGGGTAAAGCAGCTGGAACTGATGGGATCATGACAGAAATGTTAAAAGCAGGGGGGGATATAGTGTTGGAGTGGTTGGTACTTTTGTTTAATAAATGTATGAAAGAGGGGAAGGTACCTAGGGATTGGCAGAGAGCATGTATAGTCCCTTTATATAAAGGGAAAGGGGACAAAAGAGACTGTAAAAATTATAGAGGAATAAGCTTACTGAGTATACCAGGAAAAGTGTACGGTAGGGTTATAATTGAAAGAATAGAGGTAAGACAGAATGGAGGATTGCGGATGAGCAAGGAGGTTTCAGAGTGGGTAGGGGATGTGTAGATCAAGTGTTTACATTGAAGCATATATGTGAACAGTATTTAGATAAAGGTAGGGAAGTTTTATTGCATTTATGGATTTAAAAAGGCATATGATAGATGGATAGAGGAGCAATGTGGCAGATGTTGCAAGTATATGGAATAGGGGTAAGTTATTAAATGCTGTAAAGAGTTTTTATGAGGTATGTGAGGCTCAGGTTAGGGTGTTAGAGAGAGAGGGAGACTACTTCCCGGTAAAAGTAGGTCTTAGACAGGGATGTGTAATGTCACCATGGTTGTTTAATATATTTTATAGATGGGGTTGTAAAGGAAGTAAATGCTAGGTAGGGTGTCGGGAAGAGGGGTGGGATTAAATTTTGGGGAATCAAATTCAAATGGGAATTGACAGTTACTTTTTGCTGATGATACTGTGCTTATGGAGATTCTAAAGAAAAATGCAAAGGTTAGTGGATGAGTTTGGGAATGTGTGTAAAGGTAGAAAGTTGAAAGTGAACATAGAAAAGGTAAGGTGATGAGGGTGTCAAATGATTTAGATAAGAAAAATTGGATATCAATTGGGAGGAGGAGTATGGAAGAAGTGAATGTTTACGATACTTGGGAGTTGACGTGTCGGCGATGGATTTATGAAGGATGAGGTTAATCTAGAATGATGAGGGAAAAAGGTGAGTGGTGCATTAGGTATATGTGGAGTCAAAAACTTATCTATGGGGCAAGAAGGGAATGTATGAAAGTATAGTATACCAACACTCTTAATGGTGTGAAGCTTGGGTGGTAAATGCAGCAGCAGGAGACGGTTGAGGCAGTGGAGATGTCCTGTTTTTAAAGGAAATGTGTGGTGTAAATATTATGCAGAAAATTCGGAGTGTGGAAATAGGAGAAGGTGTGGAGTTAATAAAAGTATTAGTCCGAGGCAGAAGAGGGGTTGTTGAGGTGGTTTGGTCATTTAGAGAGAAAGGATCAAAGTAGAATGACATGGAAAGATATAAATCATAGGGGAAGGAAGGCGGGGTAGGGGTCGTCCTCGAAAGGGTTGGAGAGAGGGGTAAAGGAGGTTTTGTGGGCAAGGGGCTTTGGCTTCCAGCAAGTTGGCGTGAGCGTGTTAGATAGGAGTGAATGGAGACGAATGGTACTTGGGACCTGACGATCTGTTTGGGGTGTGACAGGGTAAATATTTAGTGAAGGGATTCAGGGAAACCGGTTATTTTCATATAGTCGGACTTGAGTCCGGGGAAAAGGGAAGTACAATGCCTGCACTTTAAAGGAGGGGTTTGGGATATTGGCAGTTTGGAGGATATGTTGTGTATTTTATATGTGTATGTTCTAGACTGTTGTGTTCTGAGCACCTCTGCAAAAACAGTGATAAGTGCGAGTGTGGTGAAAATGTTGAATGATGATGAAAGTATTTTCTTTTGGGGATTTTCTTTCCTTTTTTGGGTCACCTGCCCCGGGGGAGACGCCGACTTGTTAAAAAAAAAAAAAAAAAATGTTTATATATTATATTTTTTTAATAACCCCCGGCGATTTAACGGGAGGGGGAAAGACAAATAATCCCATTTAATAAATTTTTCCAAAGGTTAAATTTTAAATTCCTTAAACACCCAAGTAAAATTCCAAGGGAAAAACTTTTCCCCGAATCTTCAAAATGTTAATTTTTTTCATCACAGTATATAAAACCCTGTCTAGTCCTTTAAAAAAAAGACACTCCTTTTGGAATAACCCGCAAAAATGACCTTTCCTAACCTTTTCCTCCAACGGCCTTTTCCCTTTCCCGAACACCCTTTTCACCTTTTTGCCCTCCTTTTTTTAATCCCTCAACCAACCTTTCCCGGCCTTAACACATTGAGTATCCCGCCTTCCTATTCAAACTACGAATTTTGGGTTATTAACAAAATGCCCCAGGGAAAAAATTAGCCTCCTTCGTCCCTGACTTTCCCCGTTCAAACCCCCTTTGGGGGGAAGATCTTATTCCTTTGCCCAACCAAACTGCTCCCACAGACCAAGTGCACACACACACCCTTAAAACAGACACCCACTTTCAGATCCCCCCGCGACACGTCCATCCCATATAACGAATTTAGGGTTTTTACAACCCCCCCCCTGAATTCAATTTATTTCATACACTAAACTTTTTGTTTTTCCCATTTAAATTTCCTTATTCCCTTTTTTTGGCCAAAAAACTTTTTGGGGCCCATTTCCCCCCCTTAATTTCCCAGAAAACACCAAAACACAAAACAAAAACCATTTATGCTTATGTTACGGGGGTGGTAATTCCATGCAAGGGGGAAATGTATTTTTGCCTTACGCGTCTCGGACGAAATATTTCTAAGGGGTTTTAAGTTGTGAAACAAATTTTTAATTAATAATATAAAAATGGGGAAGTTTGGGAATGTAAATATTAATTATAATATATAATATAATAATAAAAATTATAAAAATATAAAAAATTTTATTAATTATTAATAAAATAAAACATTTTTTTTTTTTTTTTTCAACAAGTGCCCCCCACCGGCAAGGGACCCCGAAAGAAACCCA